AAGACAGGCAGCAAAACCGTATAAGGCTCCCTCACGGACCATAAAAAAGGATGTATACAATAGAACAGATATTAGGTTGCACCACAATTATAAAATAAATAATAAGGTACTTAAATGAACAAATATTTACAGTCCAAAATATAAGATGTAGAAAAAAAAATGAGGTACATTGGTGATTAAAACATGACCTTTTGTTGTTGGTTTTCTTGTGTGAATCTTGAGATAATTGTTTCTTTTGATCCGGTATGACCATAGGAAAAAAAAGAAACTGAAATAGTGTAATATGTCACGAACAGATAAACTACAATACGTAATAGTTCTACTCACATATTGTAGAGCTCAGGTGTAATTCGCATTCAGTAATGATAATCCCTTACTGGTAGGATGTAGGTGATGATATTTTCAACAAAGTCCTTAAAGTGAAGGTGTCCCAAAAAGAACAAAAGCAAGGCAAAAATAGTGCTCTCTGTATATAGTTATGTTTAAAAATGGTCAATAATAAGGTCTTATACTCACATTTGGAGATACTGCTCCACTCAGTATTTGGAGATACTGCTCAATTCTCTGGGCGTGGAAGGAATAATTCCCACCTGGGATTTTGTTTAGCAAGTAGTTCTTCAAAGTTCTAGATGACCAGGTTAAAATAAATTAATACAATTTTAAAAAAGGGTATACGGCACAGGAAAGCTAAAATGGCCAATATTCATTTAATTACACAATAATAGTTAAAAACAACCGTATTTCACCAACACAGGACTTCATCAAGTGGTGATGGAAACAAATAACCTGGTACATAAGGGTATATATAGCTAGTACACTTCATTACAATTTAAAATTTAGCGCCAAAATGACATCATCAGTGTGAGACAGAGAATTAGCATATATATTACAAAATACATTGACAACGTTTTGCAGTAAAATTTATTATTTATGGTAATAGATACTTGTGTTTTTATTTAAAAACAAGCATTATAAATATCTATTTACTAATTCTTGAGATCGATCATGTGACGCATGAGTATAGTGCCACGCTACGTGGTTGGCCGCAGTGGCTTATGTGTATCGTATGCCAGATGCGTGTGGGAGGTGCTAGCTGGCAATACACTTTAAAAGGGGCAGGCCATGTGATGTGTGTCTTTGTACACACGTCTCAAGACTGGGATATTGAGAAATGTAGTAATGTAGGTGCCGCTTGCACCCGGAAGTGATATTGGATCCTGCTATTCATAAGTATATTATATAGTGACAGCATCTTCCTACCTTAGGGTAGGGGGATATAACGAAGAGATCATCTGTTGGTTAAAAGAAACATTAGATATTGTAACGAAGCACATTAGGGGACTGGGGCATGGCCTACCTTTTCCTGGCCAATAAGATGGATCCAGATATACATACACATTAGTACACACATATAAACACACTGACACAAACACACACATAGATATACACACTGATGTATACGCACACCCTGACAGACCAAATACACACACTGACATATACAAAGACCATGATACACATACACACACTTTAGCACAGATATATTCACTGACACCTTGACACACACATACACACACACGTGCACAAATACACACTGACACACAGATACACATACACAAAATGACACACACAAATAGATACACACATAAATGCGATAATTCTTATATGTTAACCACTGGGGTACACACAATCCATGGGGCCCCGGTGCGAAAATGATCCGTGGGCCCCCACTTGCCCCCGATCCGTGGGCTCACCCGACACATGCATACAGACACAATCACATACACACAGACAGACACCCCCCGACAGACACATACATACATACATACAGACACACACATACACATATACAGAGACACAGACACATACAGAGACACACAGATACATATACACATACATACAGAGACAGACATACGCAAAACAGACACACACACACACATACAGAGACACAGACACACACACATACAGAGGCACAAACACATACACACAGACATCCCCCCTGACAGACACATACATACACACATACATACAGACACACACATACATACACACAGACAGACACACACACATGCAGACACATACATACAGAGACACACATACAGACAAACACACACATACAGAGACACAGTCATACACACACATACAGAGACACACACACACAGAGACAGATACACAGACACACACACATACAGAGACACAGGCACACACACATATAGAGACTCAGACACATACAGAGACACAGACACACACATACAGGGACATACACACACACACACACACAAAATGTTTCCTGTTTCCTACATTTTGTGACTTTCCCTGGGGTCCAGTGGTGGCTCAGCCTGATGGGAGTCAGAGTTCCCACTTTGACTCTCTCCTGGGCTCTGATAGCTGGGAGGAGTGACTGGGGAGTCACTTCCTCCCAGCAGTGATCTCATCACAGGGGGCCCGGTCGCGCTGTTAAAGCGCCCAGCGCTGACCGGGCCCCCTGATAATCCATATCCATCGGTGGCCCTGACAGCATGGGCAACCCGATGGACCCCTTAACATGCGGCCCCGGCAGTTTGCCGCGCAGACCGGGGCCACAAAACATGGCAGCTGGTACCTGGTCGCAGGGCGGCCGGGCCCCCTGGAGTGACGGGCCCAGTTGCAGCTGCGACCCCTGTGACCGTGGTATGTATACCACTGATGTTAACATACCTTTTGTGTGCAGCACCTGCAATTAGGCCCCTCTTTAGATATATTGCTGAAGCAGAAGTTCCACTTTAGAAAATAATAAAGAGGAACTGCCCTATGATGTTCTGATTTTGAAAATGTAACATTTAATATATTAGTTAAAAAACAGTGTGTCACAAAGTGAAATGGTATAAGAAGTAAACTCACTTAATACCAATACTTGGTATATTTATAGAAGTCAGAGGTGCGCAGAGTAGAGTCCCGACAAGCGTTTCGCCGGTCAGGTGGCCCTTCAAGAGCTGCCTGACCGGCGAAACGCGTGTCGGGCCTCTGCCTTCTATAAATATACCAAGTATTGCCCGAGACACAATATAGTGGGTAAAAGATTGTCCACAGATCAAGGACACAGAGAGAAGCCAGTATATCAAATGCAGTTTTTTCTTTAATATTATTTCATTTTTCCTCAATGGCGCTAACTTTAGATTAGCAGATTGTAAATCAATACAGAATAGGTGCCCTCGAAGGCACAGTTTAGAATAGTCTAACTTACTGACTGCAGCGCAATTTGGAGGGATATGTTTTCAATTGAGTTTGTTTTTTGCCATACTTACTATTGGGTATAGGTGGATTTATTTCTCTGTTCAGGCCAGAGCTCAGGCAACAGCAAAGACAGCAGCTAACTTCAAGGACATTTGTTACATTAGAGTCTATCGGCACATACTCTCCCTTTGTTACACTTGCAGACTGCTAGTCTTTCCCTGGCAGTCTAACTACCATCACAAGATCACGGACACGTCTCTACCTCCAAAAATACGGAGCAGAAATCAAACCGTTTCTGATCTCTAATTTTATGACCGTTTGGTCGTTAACGATGCATAGATTATCTTTCATTTTTCCCCCTTTTCTTTATAGAAAATTGACTTTGTTAAGTGAGTTTGCTTCTTATACCATTTCACTTTGTGACACACTGTTTTTTAAATTAATTTATTAAATGTTACGTTTTAGAAATCATAACATCATCGGGCAGTTCCTCTTTATTATTTACTGTTTACCTAGGGTTATCCGCTTGTGTGCCCTATTAACCTTTAACGTTCCAGCTCTCTCTCCGATAACATCCACTTTAGAAATATCAGTTTTGCCCAAGCTGTCACTCTCAGCCAAGGACTTCCCTCCATAAATGGATGGAATACATATCAGTGGAACAACACAAGGCGGCTCCTGGCACCATAACACCATAACCACAACATGCTGGATATGGTGAATTGAGTGCC